TTTCCTACGAAATTTAAATAAAAATAGATAAAATAATTAAAAACTTTTAAATTGTCTATAAATCTATAAAGAATTAATGTTACCAAATCTAAAAGTCGAGATTAGTTAGGAATTTACAGTTACCAAGTGCTCTACCTATACTAGAAGCTCCATCATCCCCAATTTAATTGTTACTTTTATAAATTAAAATCATGTTTAATTAAAAATAAAAGACATTTTATAAATAGTTTTTTGTATACTTGATTTTAAATAAATAAAACTCATATAATTTTTTTCAAAAGTAAATAATAAATAAAATAGATTTACGATATGATGAATTATAAATTTGTAAGTTAAGTGCAGTTACTCAAGCCTAGTCCAATATTTTATGCTCCATCATCACCAATTTTATTTTACCTTTTTAAAAATAGAAATTTATTCATTAACTATTCAAATTTCCTACGAAATTTAAATCAAAAAAGATAAAATAATTAAAAACTTTTAAATTGTCTATAAATCTATAAAGAATTAATGTTACCAAATCTAAAAGTCGAGATTAGTTAGGAATTTACAGTTACCAAGTGCTCTACCTATACTAGAAGCTCCATCATCCCCAATTTAATTGTTACTTTTATAAATTAAAATCATGTTTAATTAAAAATAAAAGACATTTTATAAATAGTTTTTTGTATACTTGATTTTAAATAAATAAAACTCATGTAATTTTTTTCAAAAGTAAATAATAAATAAAATAGATTTACTATATGCCGAATTCTAAATTTGTAAGTTAAGTGCAGTTACTCAAGCCTAGTCCAATATTTTATGCTCCATCATCTCCGATTTTATTTTTCCTTTTCAAAAATATAAATTTATTCATTAACTATTCAAATTTCCTACGAAATTTAAATCAAAAAAGATAAAATAATTAAAAACTTTTAAATTGTCTATAAATCTATAAAGAATTAATGTTACCAAATCTAAAAGTTGAGATTAGTTAGGAATTTACAGTTACCAAGTGCTCTACCTATACTAGAAG